TTTTTTTTGTAGATGAACAAAAATCTCCGTTTTCCAGTAGTTTAATTGGGTTTCTGACTTTTTTGTGTAAAGTTGTGGAAGTAGACAAGGTGCTTTTGTCCTAAAAAAATTAATACTGTCAGCCTGAGGTGCAAGTCCTTCGAAAACATTTTGAGTGATTGCTTGAATCTGCAATATTTCTAAGCTGGGATTTCCATTTCGACGGCACCGCAGAAGGAGAGGAGTTCAAATCAGCCTTTCGTGCTTCATACGTTATTCAAATTGCTTTGTCTCCCCTCACAATACCTCCCGCAAAATCCCATTTTTCCTCCTTCACCATTGTGGAAAACGTCCTTCATTAGCTCTCGTTTTTCTGTTTTTTTTTATTCATCACCATGTCTGAATAAAGCTTTTTAGCTCGCCTTGGATCGTATGTTGGAGTGTCCTCGTAGTCCATCGACATCACTAGCATCGTCAGGCCGAGAAACAGGTATTGCTGATGTCTGCTTGCTGCTTTTCAAAGACACCATTCACCATAATTTTGAAATACCCTTTTCAAGTTGTTGAGATATGTAGCTAAACTTTTCGTGCAGAGTGGTTCATCGGAGGCGAAGTGCCTTCATGTGCTGTAGTTAATCAAGGGATTTGTAATAAAGAGCACATAATCAAAATTGCCTCAACTGCCGCCATGGCATGGTTTACTATGCCTTTTTTCAGCTAGCAATATGTTGCACTTTGAAATTCGGGTGAAAGTGTTAGAAAAGAAAAGGATACTGTTGTAATTGATGATTGACCTCACCAGAAATTAAACTTTTAGAAGTACAATATCCAAAGTTCCACGAAAGAGGTTTGAACCAATGCGAAAATTATCTCGCCGAAACCATTACTGTTTTCGTTACCGTTACATTGACTTTGAGATTACTTTGACAAGTTGCGATTTTTCCAGGTTCATCTGGTAAGGAGCATGGGGTCGCATCCGGTAGTGTTGAACGTCTTAACGAATCCAACGAAAATTCGCCGAAAAAACGTGGTGGTAAGTGTCTTGTTTAGTTCCTGACTGACGGCTCCTGATTTCACTTAGAGATCCACTTGGTAGAAAAAAAAACCCAAATCGCACAGAGGCAGGATTACCACGTGCACCTCAATCTGTTCTATTCTTCTTGAACTCTACGATTCTGTCTATCAACTGATTGGCTAGTTCCGTCGTTCCCTTGATTCGCGCCTGAATGTCAAGATTTTCTCAACCTGAGAAAAGAAGTGAATAAGACTAAATTTTTACCTGTCAACATGCCCAGAAATCTTCGCTTAAGGTTCAGATTGTTTTTTACTACGCCACTTCGGCTTTGCAATATGTTGCACTTGTTCCAGAACTTCTAAATAAGAAAGTATCGCAATAGTAGAGATCGGTTGTGTTACGACCACATAGAAGAAGAACGGGTCCGTGCTCAACTTCATGTTCATTTTCCCTCCTTTTAATTACTAGAAAGCGTATCGCGAGTTTTTTGCTTTGACAGTGGCTGTCCCGTTCCCATAGCGTGGACGAAAAGCGGCCTGTGATGCGGTTCTGTGTAATGCTGCTTAGTATATCTTGGCTCATGCATAACCCATTATCCGTGTCTTTCTCGGGATGAGTCCAACCCTACGCCAATCGACATAGCGGAGAAAAAGACATTTAAACAGGCCTATTGATGCGGATACATCAAGCTTTTATTTCATTTACACTCAAGTAAATATAAAGCGTAAACTGCGGATGACTTTTTATTTATTTATGTATGACTTCATGTATATCCTCGGCGCTTTTTCATTTTTCATCGTAGTCGTTTTGTGATTTCATTCGATTTGATGAATACCTTTACTAATGATGATTGTGTTTCAGTCTGTGGCTTGGCGACCAAACGTCTCATACGAGTGCCTTGTGGTAAGGCGACTTTCGCCACTGACTCAGCTGTGCCAAGGTAATGTTTATAAGTTCATTCAGCAAAACAAAAACCTTCCAAACCAGATAGTGAGGGAAGGATTCGACCAGAGTTTAGGTTTTAAGCTACCATCTTTTGTATTTCAATGACTCTGACCTTAGAACAAGTTATTGACGTAGCATAGTTCAGGTTTTTTTTATCTACCTTGACTCTGCCTTGACCGGCAAGTTTCATTAGAAGGGCATTTTATTCAAACCGGTAGTCCATAAAACTGTTCCTGTAGGGACACAGATGTTATAACAAGGCTAGAAACATTTCTAAAGAATTACCTGACTATTCCAATCAGCAGGATAGTAGCATTGTAATGACAAAATATTCTTTTTTTTTTCTTGGAAAGGTGTCTACAAAACCATGAACTCAGTAGCAACTGAGAAGCAGTTCCTTGAAAAGTGGAACATGAAGGTAAGTTCAAAGAATACAGAATTCATGTAGGGACAAGGGCTCTTTGACTATCTCTCCTAGGATCTCTAACCAAAAGAATGTTCTAATTGCCGCACGTGAGATCTAGCTATGCTTCGGTCATTTGCCAAAAATATGGTTCTAGAAAACAGCGGATTTGCAAATAACAGTTTTTGAGTCTGAATACCCAACTTTGCACGTTTTCTGGAAGGGATTGATATTATTTTCCGAGTTGCAGGAGTTTGACCCCTGCTGACTAAGAAACCTCATCAATTGATCCATGAATCAATGCATGAGGACGTCTGTTGAGGAAAACTTGTTTTCCATGGCGATATTAGAAGTTTCCTTATATGTAGTACATAATGAGGCGCTCTAAGCAGTCTAGCGGTGCGGAAAATGTGTTTTCGAGAAACCATCAACATGAGACTACTATACATCTTAAGCCTTCATGGTAGATCCATATGGGTATTAATTTAAGTTTAATTCACGTAATTTTACGCGCACATTCCATTCCAAATTGGCAATTTCATGGACGAATGTGGAGCAGGCCAAATGAGGGTCCTTGATGTCAGAAACAAAAACATCCTATAAATCGGGCTGTCTTGCCCCCCAAATTCTGAATTCATTTCTATTTATAATCTTCCTGGTTATACCCTCTTATTTACCTTTTTGACCAATAACGTTATCTTGCTAGAATCTTTTCTCCCTACGCCATCACTAGACACTACCATATGTATGTATAACAGGGAACAATTATGTTGCAGGAAGAATTTGAGAATGTTTGTTTCTTTGTTTATACCGACCTTTTTTCCGAACTATTGCTACTATCATGCATGTAATGGGTATTAATTAAACGACTTTAGTTTGAATGTTTCAACAGCCATCGGATTTTTATTAAATTTGACATGATCCTTTTACACACAACATCCTTTCAGCTCCGTAATCCCCTTTACGGTTTTTGGTGGAGCGGCTGCAGCACGTCTGATACTCGTGGATATTGTTAAGCGTGAAGATCTGATAGGAATACTCTCCCCGAATGACATCATCCTGAAGATCGAAGATGTGTGAGTGATATCTCATTGGCAAGTCTTCTTGAAACATTTGGTGAGAAAGAAATGTAGCCGACCAGTCCTTGCAGCGAAGGTTTAAACAAGTGGAAGATCTGCTAGTTCAATTCCTCCATAGAGGAGGAATTCATTTTCATTGGATTGTTCTGTCTCGCAGAGTAGCAGAGTAGGATGGTACTACGTATATTTGTCGGATTTTGCTATATTTGCAACCCCACGCTGAACCTCATTCGGAACTAGTTGAAAACGGAATCCTTGCTTAATAAAATGATAAAACGAACCCTTGGAAGGCTCTCACCTATCTGGTTTTCTGTGAGTGATCGAATTGCCTCTAGTGAACCTCTTCTATGAACCGAATTTCAAGTGATTGTATAAGCTTGTCTAACACCTCAAAGGCGTAGCTCACGATAGGTTTGAGGTACTCATTCCAAATCTAAAAGCAATAAGTGGTTGGGGGTAGTGCACCGGGGGCGAAGAAAGTGAGACAATCCGCCAGTTTCGCGAAAAAAGAAGGTTCCTAAGAGAAGTAAAAAAAGAGGTCGCACGAGATTACCATGACCGAAATGGCATGGGAAGGGTGTTCGGACGAGAATTCTGTTGTTATGGTTGCGCAAAGAGCTGACTACATCAAGCCGAAATTGTCTAAATGCATTCCGTTGTCGCCATAGGTCATTGTCGCCATGGGTCACTGTCGCTATGGAGAAGTTGTTTCAACCTCTAACATGGGAGTCCATTGTGAATGGTTCAGCCTCTTCAATGCCGTCAAAACTCGCAAGCTTTGCGTGTGGTATACAGCCGATACAATGTTTGAGCCCTCATGACGCTTTGTCTAGGCCGTTTTCCGATCTGGCAGCGCCACATATGGTATACGAAGGGGGCCACGGACTCATCTAGCAGTACATGTCGGAAGCTATTTATCATGAACTAGTCACTTGGATGGGAAGGTGTCGGCTTCGATCGTGTAGCATCTGATTGATTCAATTCTGCTTAGTATGACCTCATACACTTCTGAATCNAAAAATTTGTGCTTATATAATCATCACCATGGCATCTGGTATTGTAAGAACCGCTCAACTTCAGGCAAGTCAGTGGTATGTTGAGAACTGAGGTGACTCGATTACTGGAAAGGCTGTGCCATGAAAACGACCAAATCGCCATCGAAATTATTCCTGCCGGTTGGTAAAACTTTCTTTCAAAATAATTTTTTCTGTTCCTTCTTTTGGAAATATTTTATTAGATTTGAGTTTTTCGTATTTAATTTTGAATTGATTGCTGTGGGACTGTTTTATCAATACTCCTAATTTCTGCAAAATAATTTTTGCTGCCTTGTAGCCGATATTTTATTACGTTGCCACATAGGCGGCACCGGTTCATCCTTTATTCTGTGTAATTCTATCCTCTTGCTCAATTTAGACACACACCCACACACTCATTGTCTATGACGACCCATTCCTGACTATTTTAGGTGCCATAACGGACGACATATGCGAGATCCTCGGTGACAAGCAGTGGGCGGACCTGCAGACCGTCATTCGAGACAACTTGTACAGCAAAACAGTGCCATGTTGGTGATCCCTTTTTACTCCCTGTTTGTTTACTCTTCCCGAGCAGTTGCGATGGTCGTCAATTCCCTCATTCCAATTATTCTGAAGACTCATGCTAAGGGCGTCACTTCACTTCTCCTTATTTCGCTTAATATTAGTAAAACCTTCTCAACTGTTTATCTCCATTTGTTCGGGAAGCCTCCGAAAGTGGTTTGCTTCAAGCTCGGGTTCTGATCATTGGAGTCATTCTCAGAGAAAGGGGGACCGAGGAACTAAAGTAGCCGGTTGGTTGGGTTGAAGGTTGGTCCAAACATAAGTGAGATGAGAGTCTACGAATTCTTTGATAGGCAACCCACCACATTTTCTCACTTTTGAGGGAGACAAGGAACGGTTACCATACGGAACGATGTGACACTTCCGATTTTGTCTGTATTGTCTCTGGTCGTGGATGGAAAAAGCCAACGCTTAGTTCTGGATTTGGTCATCGGCCTTCTTCCCCACTAATCCACATCGAAATAATCTCTTCCAAATAGAATAAAGTTACAGTAGAATCAATTCTCGTTCCTTTGATTTGAAGGGAGCTCCATTCTCTAATACCTACGGTCAGTGCGGGGTGTCTTGAGTTTTGTCATTTTTAATCGTTATTATAACGGAAAGGCTTTCGTTTCGCATGGCGTATTGAGTGTTCAGCTTCTGTAATGAGCACTTGTCGTTCCCTTCTTCAGTATATACCTTCCTCTTGTGGCCCGAAGGAGCTTTCTCGACTTCCCAAAAGCTTTACTTTATGTTTCTCTGGGTAAACTTGTTATTTATCTTCCAATTAACAAAGTTTTACCTTCTTCATTTTCGAAGATCTACCACTTCACTTGACTCCTGTCAGAGGAATAGCAACGTCAAATGGCCTTATTTTCTGGCGTGACTTCGGCAATTCCAGTTTAGTAACGGGTTGAACGTTCTCCATGACCTTCCGCTGTTTTCTCAAGTGGCTCTCACCTCATCGAACGGTGTTTTTAACTACGAGCGGGGTATTTTTTTCTGTCAGTCAGCTGCCCGTCCGAGCATGTTACTAGCAGCGGTCCGAGTAGCTGAAAAGCCGACTGTTATGCAAACAAGTACTCCTTCCCAGCACCTACCTCCCTTTCCCATGAACGTAACGGATCCACTCGGGCTACTTAACTTCTTCGCCGTTCCAACCTGTGAATCTTGTTCCTTCTTGGTTATTAGCTCACGGATAATTACCTTTTCGCATGGGAAAAACAGCAACATCGTCACTTGAACACTTTATTCTTTGAAAAACTGATGAACCTCTCGTACTCAGTATTGTTCCAGAGTTCTGGAACTAGTTAGTTTTCTATAATGACTCGTTATTAAAATTGACGGAAGACTGGCTGTAGATGACGGAGCTTACGAAGAGGTGCCGTCATAAATATCTCATTAATCTTTCATTGTGACAAACTCTCAGGTGGTCTCGTTTTCAGGTGGCAGAATGCTACTTTCTTTTTGCGGTGGCCAACACTTGTTGGCGTAGTAATTGGGAGATTCCTACTGAGTTTCAGTGGTCATTTGTCAATCTGTTTGAGGATTTCCCCGCCTACGTAGGAAGCTCAAACTTCACCAATACCACAGTCTTCACTTCAGTAGGTTAAGCCGGGTATTGAAAGTTAGACAAAGGGGAGAAAGAGATTGGCTGTCTCAAACGGAATTTCTATGCAACTGATCATAGAATCTAATCCTCTAAAAATAGAAGCTTGAAATTGTGAAAATAAGTTTTTTAGAGGTGACGTACGGTTTTGTGAGGGAATCGGAAATCCCTCAATGAGAATCTTTGCTTTGCTGCTTCTTTACGATTCCCCATATCTTCGGTTATGTCCTCGACCTTCCCCATCTATACCCTTTTTATTCTTTTCTTATCTTTCCCGATCGTCATTGAGGCTCACAAATGCCATGACCTTAGTTACCCTTATTCTGAGATCTTTTCGGCCACAGCCAGCATGCATGCGAAAGTGGTCTTAGTCCAGGTAGTTCTATAGGTGGTCTATACAAGAGCGTTTGTACTGGGTATTTGCTAATTCACACAGATCGTCGCCTCAGCTGTACACCAGGGTTACAGATCAGGAATCCAGTGAACGAATGCATGGAGCACCTCCAAAGAGAAGCTTCATGTTACTCGTTTCCTATTTTCCTACCTTACTTTTTCTTACCTTGGAGCAAGAAATACATGAAACGTCGGTCGAGTTTACATAATTGCAAGTTCGCTTCCCATGTGGTGACCCATCATCTGGTTTTCCAGCCGTCACACCTCATCTACCTTATTTGTCCCGGATAGCCCTCGTCTTATCCTTCTACGTCGTTTTTTTACGACGACGTTGTCATCCTCTTTGACTTGCAGAATACCAGGACAAGATGACAACCAAAGCTATGAATTCTCTTTTTCTCGGTTCCCAACTTTGCAGCACTCCTATAGATGGATTTGTCGCTTGAGAGGCGCTCCTCAAGATGGATTTTTACTTGAAGCAAGTTTGAAATTTCCAGACACCACGCGACCCCCACGAGACGGTGAAATCGACGGCGAACACTATCGTTTTGTATCAGTAGAGGAGTNTCTCTTTTTCTCGGTACCCAACTTTGCAGCGCTCCTATAGATGGATTTGTCGCTTGAGCGGCGCTCCTCAAGATGGATTTTTACTTGAAGCAAATTTGAAATTTCCAGACACCACGCGACCCCCACGAGACGGTGAAATCGACGGCGAACACTATCGTTTTGTATCAGTAGAGGAGTTCAAACGGCTTCAGACGGAAGGACTACTTCTCGAGCACGGTACCTATCAAGGTGAGCTACAGCTTCGAATAGAGTCAACACTTTTGACGTTTTTTTTGTTTGGTATTGAACTTTGCTATTTTAAGAACTTGCCATCTTCTTCTGTCCCAGCTCTCTTTCTCCCAATGGAGGGTAATGATATACCTTCTCTTTTTCTCCTCCCTGGCGTTAATCCCGCGCAGTCGCAGGGTCCGCTGAGGGTGATGATATACCATTCCTTGCAATTGTGCTCATTTGTGCTATGCATTAATATAATTGAGGGCTACTAGTTAAGCTCAATTTTGAGGGGGAAATCATGAGAGTCAGTTGCCCGATTTGAGTTGGGTCAGAGGATTAACGCAAAGTATCAAGGCCAACACGAGAGAGTACAGGTCTTACTGAAGATTGAACACCCTTCTTCCGAACATTCTAAATACTCATTATCTCACTTCACGAAAGAGTTGTTTCACCGATGAGACGATGGCCAAACAGGTTTGCCACCTGCTCAATGTTGCTGAGGTTATTGTTCGTATAGTCTGACCGGATGTAGGTAGTGGAACGAATTACTTCAACCTATTTCTTCTGTCAACTCTCTATTTCCAACATTCAACCATGTTTTTTTCGTTTTTACACCTTAAAAACAAGGGAACATTCCGGTGACTCCTAGTTGTACGGCTCTATCATTTTTGATGAGTACTTCTTTTGTTAGTCCTATGAAAGTTGTCAAAGTTACAAGCCTTCTCAACCGAAATACGTTAGGCAGATGAATCTTTTTTATTATACTCCGTGCATGTCGGGTAAATAGCTCATCCTTGTTGTAATATTTGAATTTTTCTCACAATTATGGTTCTTTGATCCGAATAGAACCTTTTGTTGATCAATCAGTTCGGTTTCGTCTCGTGTTCAATCATTTTCAAATAGCAAGAAACATTCCAAAGTCGAGATAAACTTTTATCAATCACAAATATACATAGGTACAGGAAAGTAGAACTGGTAGAGTCAGTTCTGATCAACGACTCGTCCAAATAGGAAGCGAACTTTCTAGTTAAAAGCATCCACTACTCTAGTCGAATTTACCATTGCCGTCATTCCCATGGCCATGTCCCATGGCTTGTTTAAGTAGGAAGAATACAACTTAAGTACGTGAATCCATTTTCGTACACGTCGTGTGCATATATAACCAACATGTATACATACATAGGAGAAGGTGGTGTAGTGACAAGTGGCGCACCATCTCACACTCACGGTCACGGGTTCCAATTCCTTATCGATATCCGGCTAGGCCAACGAGGGCATCCATCCCACCGGGGTCTGTTAGTTGGTACCAGTTTCGTCTAGGAGAATAAAAGCACTGACTTGTACATGGGCTGGCCACCGCAACTCATTGTATAGGCTACATACGCATTCGATACGCCACTGCGATTCTGAATGAGAATCGAGTGCGTGGGAGTATGCCTTAGACGGGATCGACCAACGCCCCAATGCTTTTAGAATTTATGTACACACATATGTATATCATACACATATGTACAGAGCATATGCAATCTCATTAAGATACGACACATTCTAACAGTTGAGTGTCTTCCCTGGTCTTTCCTGAGCCTAACGGGTAGTGCTGTTACGAAATGTTTAAGTATCATATATTCCCATGTTATCGGAACTTCTATTCTTGTTGGCATTACCCTATTTGCGTTCCCGAATCTACTGAGAGAATGTCTTTCTGTGAACAATCGGCTGTCGTGTACTTGAGTTGTGGTCGACCAGTTTTTCTATTACCCCAAGGAATTTCATGCACCAACCATTTTTCATTTTTGCCAACTCGAGCGTCGTTCTCCGCCATGGGTAAAGCGAATCGTTGTGGCGTTTGGAAATAATCGGTCTGGATATGCAAATGAGATCTGCTAAGCGATGAACAGAGCCGAGTAGATCCGATCTACGAGAGCGAGTATTTCATCTCATGGGAATGGGCGACTCAGTTCCACATGATTTGCCCTTTGCGGCATTTTCTTGCAAGCCATTCTTATGTATAACCTTCACTGATAGGCAGTTATATTGGAACTGCTATTAACAACCACTTCTTCAATATTCACCTTCACATTTCTCACAGCGTGAATGGATCGATCGTTGAGGTTCATGTCAACTAATCAAAATTTTGATCGGAACGAATAAGGGTAAAGGTATGAACCGAGAAAAAGTTGATGTTCCTGTTCAGAGTTCCGGGATATTGGAGGAATCCTGATTTTGAGGG